CTGAATGGAGACAGATCCTCGCGCCGACCAAGTCATTACATGTAAAAAAAAAATCTTCCTAAAAACTTTTAATCCTGTGCGCATTTTTCATCTAAAACCCACAACTAATATCTAACTATAATTGAATTATCCAATTATCATTTATTTATTTCTAGCAGGTTTAAAAGACGAAGCCATTGATGCGTTTTGTAAACACAATAAGTACTCCGCTTGACCAGGACTGACACCTATGAGTCAGGGCAATGGTGCACAACATCGGTAATCAAAATATGCATATTGTGAAATTCAAACTTTGAATCGTTGAAACACAAAAATATTTTCTAGCCAAAACATTATGATGGATGATTTTAATGGCATATAAACTTTGTTATTTCAAAACATTTTGAGACATGATAAAATCCCTTTAAGCTGTACGATAAAAATTAACTTTCAACTTCCCTTTCTTATGCAGCAATATACTTTCATCACCTTCACATGGGGTTCATAATATTTCTCAGTTGAATCGATATGCAAGAGCATTCTATTTGTATAAACATTTTCTAAAAACAGTAAATCTATTAAAACAAGTTGATGAAATAGGAACTTTAAACAGTTTCGTTTGAAGTTATTATTTTGTAAGTTTTATGGTCAATACAATGACCTTTGCAATGATCTTGCAAATACAATCTATCATTTAGTCAAATGCTGACTTACATTTTTCATACTAAACACACTAAATTGTCGACGGATTTTCTCGTTATTTCCCGGTCATAACAAGAAGCACATGGCATATATGACGATGGGCAGGGGATGCGCAGTCTTCTATTACATTTGATCCGGCCTCTGATGTTTTCAAGTCTGTTTGCTCTGCTCCTCATTTGTATTGTTTAATGGAATTATGAGCTTGAATACTATTTGTTACCTCCATATATTTCAATGTATATTTCTTTTTAAATTTGTGTTTTATACTATAATTTATTTTATGCGTTGGACGACTTTAAAGCTTGAATATTCGCAGGGGATTTAATTTCGTCATTTATAATTATCAACGAAGTTAAATCACACTCAATTTTTGTATATGACTAAATATTTAATAAAGGTACTTTCAAAACAACGAGATTAAATGCCCACGAACCTATTTCAGATGACGAATCAACGAAATTTGATCCGCACGAAAATATGTGTTTCTACAGTATTTCTTATTTGTATTGTAAAATACTTATTTGGGTGTCATATGTTTTTACTTTAATTGTATGCTAGGATTGTTTATTTTTCCGTTGCAATGTAATTTATGTCCGGTGTGACCGGTCGGTAGGATTACTCACTCCTCCATGGCACTTGATTCCATTTCTGTTTATTTGGACCCAAATGGTTGTCCCCTAACATGTACTCAAATAGGAGCCCAGTTTGCGTTGAATATCTCGCTCGTTTTGAATCATATACAGACTAAAACTTGACCAATGAAAATCATTTGTAACGAAACGAATTTAACAAACAACTTCACGGATACCATACAAATTAAAAATTAAACATACAAGTCAGAATTTTTATTATATAGCTAATAAATAATCTCTTATAAAATACTAACAAAACTCTAGAGAATTTTAGCGTTCAATATCTTGACGTTTTATTGAACGCTGAGTTTGTATTACCTATACGAGTATGCCCAAAACATTCCGAATACGAGCGTTCAATATCGAACGCCCCGTTGTAAACAAAAAAGTCGTCTGGTCAAATTCTCAGAGGTAAATTAACGAAATGAAGTGGCATCTAGGTAAGATGTGTTTATTTTTCACACAAAATGAAATTATTTATTAAAAATCTAGTACGTATTAGACCTACTAAAACCCAAATAAGCAAATCATATTGTTCGGTAAGGTCATCGGAATGATACGATATTGAACGCTTACAGAGGACGTTAATTTGAATACCGATACTAGAAAATCATTATTTCGACTTTTTTAAAATTGGAATAATTATTAAAAATTATATGGAAATGTTTAGCTATAGAATAATGGAATTACTGAACTTATATTGGTGAATATTGGCACTCGTTGGCTGTTCAAATGCACTCGCAATCTTGTGCATTTGATCAGCTCACTTGTGCCAATATTCACCAATATAAGTTCAATAACCCTATAATACAATATAAATACAAAATACAACGCAAATGGAAAATAAAGAAAACAAATAAAAAAAAATATACATGTACAATACAAATATAAAAAAAAAGAAATGAAAAAAAGAATACTTATTTAAAAAACATTTACAATACAACATGAAAATGATAGAATACAACCATAGGTTATGTAATACAAAATGAATTTTTACGATACAAAAAATCGAATATTGCATGACACCTGATCCCACCTCTGATGTTTTGGAGGTCCGTGTTTACTCTGCTCCTAATTTGTATTGTTTTATGGACTTTGATATTGAATATTGTTCATTATCTCCATATCCTTTATTGACATAAGATACTTGGGTTTGTCCTTCTTCAATATGTAGATACATCCTCTATTATATTTGTATCTATTTATTGGGAGTTAAATAAGTATTAAGCTTAGTTATGTTCATTAAACAGGACCCGTTAAAACCAATCAAGTTGAGAAAATAATCACATTTTAAAACATGTAAAATACTGTTCCTTATCTCCATATGTTTCATGTAATACATTATCTTTAATTCATTGATACCAGACTTTCAAAAAATGCGCATATCTTTTTATCATTTTGAATGTTTTAAACATAACTTTTTTTATTGTCTATGTTCTTTTAAGCAGGTTGTTTTTTCGGGCCACCTTCACTTTTTTAATAGTAAAATCTGCCAGAAACAAACGAATGAACTTCCTTTTATACCTGACTAACTCGGCTATCTTTTATTTCGATTTGATGTTTTACATTGACATATAATTATTTCTTTCCTGACTAAGTTATCCTGACTGTGTTAATTTTGAAATTTAAAACGTTTCTGCCGATCCAAGTTCTAAACTGCCTAACATGTATGTAAGCAATATACTTTCCTAAATTCAAATAATTGCCTTACTAAATGATAAAATACATAAGCTATTGGGCCATTCGATTTAATCGGGTTAGGCTTTCCATCTGCATAACATAAAATAGAGTTATAACATTATTTCAAATTGCCTGATTGGGTTGAGCAACAGATATGATGGAAGCACTCGGAGTTCTTCGGATGGCTAGTACCTTGCACATAACATATAACTTCGGACATCAAAGGGTTCATCTTGCTGATTTAGTTCTTTGATCTTATTTGAATTTCTTTCAAATGTTACTTCCCTTTTTTATGCAACCTTCATAAACTGCATACGGAGTTTATGTATCTCAGTTGATTCGATACGAAAGAGCATGTTCTACGTATGAACAATTTCTAAAACTAGGTTTATAATTGACAAACAAGTTAATGAAACAAGAATATCAGCAGACTCGTTTAAAGTCATTAGTCAGTAAGTTCTACGGTAGATATAATGACCTTGTCAGCAAATGCAATTTATCAATGCGTCAAATGCTGACTGACGTTTTTCATACTAATTGTTATAGTCCATTATTTATACACTGAATTGACGACGGATTCTTTCTTTCGCTATTTCCCGATCATGACAAGGAGCACATGGTTGTTGTGACCGGACTGCAGGGAGTACTCACCCCTAACAAAATATACTTTAGTAAACTATAGTTTACTTTAGTAAATCAAAGTCCAAAAGCTTTCACCATTGTAAATCAAAGTTCCAATTAAGTTTTCCATAGTAAATCAAAGTTCCAAAATTTATAACATAGTTATTCAAAGTTCCAAACTTTTTACTATAGTTAATCAAAGTTTTAAAGTTTTTGTAATTACTTTAACAACTTATATAGTTAAATTAAGTTATTATTATTATTATTTAACGTTTTAAGGAGATGATATTTGGTTTGTTGGGGCCAGGTTTTTGATGTTTATCTTAAATTTGCAAAGTAATTTATTTTAATGCAATATTTACATTTAACAGTAGAAAAATCGTGTTGACTCAACCTAATGAAGGAAATATCTTTATTCTAAATGACGCAAATTTTTATGTTATAGCATTTTTTTTCCATAAATAAGACTTAGGTTTTATCTGCAAATTAAAATTAAATGAATTTCAATAAATATTGCTTATTCATCGGTGCAATAAACAATTTTTACATTAGAATTCATTTGTTGTACATTATTCTTTTAGGGGACGGGTCGGCTTTTTTTTAAGCTTTAATGAATCTGAACCTTGCAATGTCATAAAATGAAAAGAATGGGAAGCATTTAAACATAATTCCTCGAGTTTTATAGTATTTAATGAAAGTTCCAAAGTTTTCGCCATAGTAAATCAAAGTTCCAAAGTTTTTACTATGGTAAATCAAAGTTCAAAAGTTTTCACCATAATATAGTAAATCAAAGTTCAAAAGTTTTAACTATGGTACTATAGTTAACTATTGTAAACTAAAGTTAACTATAGTTTACTGTAATATTTTTGGTTAGGAACTCCTCCATGGCACCTGATCCCACCTCTGATGTTTTTAGGTCCGTATTTGCTCTCCTTATATTTTGTATTGTTTTATGGACTTTTGATTTTGAATACTGTTCGTTGTCTCCATATGTTTCATTTGAGCTACTTTGTGACACTTCCAATATTTTGTCTGGCTTTCAAAGCCTACTAACACAAGGTTGTAATTAAAAACTTATTTGCCATGAAGAATAAGAAAAATTAAGAAGCCTTTTCGAATAATTTCGATCTGATATGTATTCCTCCACTAATCAAATCCGAGATTTGAATCTAGCGCAGCCTGGTTCCCGAGGCCTTCCGATTGTGCAAGCACTTCTTTGCTTGTACAATCGGAAGGCCTCGGGAAACAATCGGAAGGCCTCGGGAACCAGGCTAAATGGGGAGCGTAGCGGGGACAGCCGTTAATTGTCGATTGTGATGCAAGTGGATATTGCGCATGCGCAATAAAGACTTTTGGATAAATATTTCCAGCTTAAAATTATTTTTGGACTGACGAGACCAAATAAGGAGTTTGTTCTTACAAGGAACCGCCATTATGTCTCAAATAATTTATGGAAAACCTGATTAAAACGATGAAAAGACGACCAAGAACGGACAATCAGCATTTAGAAATGTTCGTAAAGTGCCACATTTCATGCAAACAGTAGTGATTTAAAACGTTGAAAAAAAAATACACAAACTTTTGAGAGGCAATTCAGAGCTATTGACATCGGCCCAATTTTTGGAAGTTTAAATTCAAGGCTGTTTGTAAAGTCAGGTAAATTTTATGCATAAAAACATGATAAATAGGGAAACTTTATTTAGAAACGGGATTTTCTATTTTCGATTTATTGCATGTCATTATTATACCACTCATTTGTAAAAATGGATATTCGATCTAGATTCTCATATGAAGAAGGAATATCAAAGTAGAATTACAATGCGTGTTCGTAGGCAGGTAAGAAAAGGACTATTTTGGTTTTTTTTTTAAATTACTATTCTATATTTTGTTAGGTTGCTCAATATACTGCATTTTTAGGTCCCCTGTATTACAAAATTGATGTCTTTTTATCTTTTCTACTAAATAAAACGTTTAAGTATTTTTCTACTGTTTTTTTCCCTGGATTTCTATAGAGTACTGTACCAGGCCATGCCCGCAACTCTATAGTCTATTTCAGATGAAAAATGAAGAGTTATGCACCTTGTAATAGAGGTTTATGAGAAATTTTGTATGGTATATATACCCGGCAAAACATCTGAGATTTACAAGTAGGAATTAAATTCACCAAAAAATACATTCTGTTTTGACGTAGCTCAGAAGATAATGTGCATCAACTTCTATAAAGAGAAATGGTCTTATAATCTGTCTAATACCTTTATCACATAGTATATTCGTCTTGTAGGAAGCCAGGAAATAGATTTGAATACATTTTACGTCTACGATTATCATTACTGAAAGACTGAAAGTATTAATTGCTTTAATTATTTGGAAGAAGAAATACAGTGTTGCAAGAAATGATTAAGATTTTCTTTTATCTCTTAAATATTTTTTTTAAAAATTTCAGCTGACCCCCCTTCTTCTGATGTTTTGGAGGTCCGTGTTTCCTCTAATCCTGATTTGTTTTGTTTTGTGGATTTTTGAGCTTAAATACTATTTGTTATTTCCATACCAAATGATTTAATATTACTATTTTACTTAATGGCCATACTCAGTACTTTCTAATGTTATCTCAAAATTCAAAATTTCTGCTTTCAAAAACAGAGAGCTTATGTAATCTATAGATTAGAGAGGGATTGTTTAATCTGTCAACATTTCTGAAACAGCGGTTATTTTTTCAGCAACTATATTCATTGTTTAGTGCAATATATTAAACAGAAAGAGAACTTTAGTTAAGGAAGTTTTGCAATTATTTCGACACAAAATGTTAAAATGTCAAGTAAAAAAATCCCGTTTCATTATATTTTGTGTTGCTATTACATTTCAAGTTGAAACAGAACTTACACAATATGTTTGTTTGATGCAAGATGATAATAATCTTTATTATAATATACATATCTTATTTAAGGCACAGTATTCTAGAGATGAAATAGAAGCAAGAACATCTCAAAAGTCGATAGAAGATAAATATGGAATCAACACTTTTGTCAAGATATCAACAGAATTTTACACGACTAGCAATAACCTGCGTGGACGATATAAAATTTGTGTTTAAAGATGTTTTTAAAAGCCAGATCAAGCCTGTAGACCTCGAAAATGCTATCAATTCATGTCCAACGCTAACAATGGGGAACCAGAAACTGAGAACAGATCAGCTAAAAATTTGTAGAGTCCCTGCTCCACAGGTTCCTGACTATGATATGTTTGATGTTTCGTTGCTCTATAAACTGATACGAAATCTGTGTCCAAATTTGAAACCAACAAAAGGATGGGGAAATACACCGGATACAAAAGAACTGCAGATTGGAGATGACATTGAGCGACTCAGACTGATCCGAAACGAAATGTTTGCCCATTTACACTCTTCAGAAATTCCCGATGCCACATTCTTATCATGCTGGAAAGAATTAAAAGAAGTCATTAAGAGAGTTCAGTTTTTCATGACGTCACTTGGATACAGTGTAAACTATGAGAAAAAACTCGCAATTACTGAAGTATCTGATTTTTGTCAAGAAGATATGAAAAAATACAAAATATTTCTCGAAGCAACATTGATTTTATGGAAGGAAAATAAAGGTTAGTAATATAGAATGAAACACGTTTTTGTCTTTATACATAAATATTGCTCATATTATATATTTTTATTTAGAGGTTCCAGTGATAAAAGTAAATGGAAAGAGCAAAATTGTTTATGGAGAAGATGCATATATTGAGGCTGAGACAGAAAGATGTCCGGACAATATGAACTGGCCGCTTACTTGGGAAAGAGTAAGAGGGGGTAAAACGGAAATCATTGACACTAGTACAGAAAAGTACAGGGGCAGTTCCATAAAACGGCTGGTCATAAAGAGAGTTGAAAAAGCAGATGAAGGAGAATATCGTGCCGTGATATCACGAGAGATGAATGGAAGTCATATTTATGTGCCAAGTAATATATTCTTTCTACATGCTTTAGGAGGTATGTGGCAGAATACATTATCACCTATTCACCACACAGAAAAATGACATTTTTACGAATAATTTGGTATATAAACAGGAAGGATAGAGGATAAGCATTCAATACCTCTGTTAATCTATCAGACATGAAAAAAATATTATCAATAAAGCATCGTATAATTTATTCATTAAAGGAAATCGGGCTGTGCCCATCCATTTTTGTTGAACATCTTATCAGTTTCAGATTATATATCTTACCTTACCAATTCAGAAGTTTCGATATTATATTCTACAACGCATGTTAAACACATGTGTCATCTTAAATCTGTTTTTATGGGCCTCTTGGGCGTTTTTTAAGACTCACGTGTTTAGCTAACTTGAAATGCTAAGTACTAAATACTATGTGATAAGCTTAATATTGAAATCAGCTTGATGCTTTCTTTTATTTCTGTGTTTCTGACGCCATGTAAAAGAAAATACATTACAAAGAGCTATATTTACAGAACCTCCAACTCTAGAACTTTTATTCAGTTTGTGAGTAAAAAGGCAGAGTTTACACATCGATAAATTCTGAAAAAAGAACGTTTAATCCTATAATACCTGTGTTCCTGACTGTATAACATTACAAAAGGCTTTTCTTTTTTACAGATCCTCCAAATCTAGAAATTACCCGGGCAACCTCAGGAATAGATAGTGTTACTATTCTGTATACCTGTTTTGTTGAAAAGACATCTCCTGTACTAGAGAAAATTGAGTGGACCAAAGATGGAGAACTATTGAGGATGGCTGCAAATAAGTATGAAGGTGGTGGAATCAAAGATAACTATCTGAAAATCCTTTCCTCATCGGAGAACGACAGCGGTGAATACACATGTAGAGTATTCAATGCTGTTGGATCAAGCGTGAAACGCATAGTTCTAGGTATTGTAAATATCACATTACTATTTGTACACACTCGTACAGGTATCTGTAAAATCTAATCTAAATCTTTAACTCAATCATATTATTTTCGGTTTACATGATGAAAATTATCTATCGATTGTTAGTTGTTTTGTATCTTCTTTCCATTTTTAATGTCACGAAGTTTTAATTTTAAGAGATGAAAATCAAAACAAGAACTTCCTTATATAAACTGCACTTTGCTACATTTTGTTTTTAGCTGCCCCATATGTAGATATTGGCAAAGAACTCACGTGTCCAATGGGTTGTGAATTCACTTTTAACCCCGTCATAAAGTCATGCCCTTCTGCGGAGAAAGCAATTTGGCAAAAAAGCAAAACTCAAGATTCTGATAATTTTAAGAACATAGACATCAATGATGCCCGGTATTTTGGAAGCAGTTTGGATCCAGAGAATCCTATCCTTCGAATATGGAAAACATCCCACGCTGACAATTCGTATTACAGACTAGAAGTCACAAATGGGATTGGTAAATCTACAAGCAATGCGGTTTTGTTGAAGTTAGTTGGTGGTAAGTACATGTAGAAAAATATACCCATACAGACATTAACACTCTAAACAGATGATCTTAAGGTATTCAATGTATAATGAAGGGGTTTTGAATGATTTTAAATAATTTTAAACTAGTTAAATACACATTGCTAGATAACAATAAAAGTGACATGAACCAAAATCATATGACTGATATCATGTAAGGAGACAGGTATTTTTCACATTAAAAGTTTTCGAAGAGTTATCTGCCCTTGATGAAAAGAAGAAAATCTTTGATTTCTGTGGTAAATAATTCATTTTATTTCATATTTTAATAAAGAGGGAGTTCATGCATATATTCACCAAGAGATTTGTTTGAAATTCAAATTACTTTTTACAATATCTTATAAAAGCATGCGCTGCCAAAAGACTTCAATGTAAAATTCAAGGTGTACAAAAAACTTTTGTTAATTCATTTGGTGGAGCATTTTTATTTGATAACATCTTCAAAATACTTACATGATTAAAAGTATTGGATCATTCATTTATTAGGTACAAAATATGGTCGTTATACATTGAGTACCTTAAGATAATTTTAAGGTCTATTTCCTGTGAGATTTATAAATATTTACAACCCTAGATTTACAAATTTCACTTTTATAAACTGTTTTATCTTTTTATACATTTTTAAGAATAATTTTTTGGGCAGGCTTTAAACGACAAAAATTGATTTAATGTTTAAAAAAAACAACGTAATTTTCAAAAAGATTCTTATTTTGATTTTCCTTGACAGATCCTCCTTCTGTGTTCACAAGCCTTGAAACTAATATTCTGAGTCAGGATGTTAAATTTTTATGCAAAGTCTACCTCACGGAAGGTTCTCCAGAGGTAACAAAGATTTTTTGGACAAAGGACAAACAGAACCTCGATATTTCAGGTAGTGGAGGAAAATATGCTGGAGGAAGTATTGCTGATCCTTCACTAGTCATCCATAACGTTAATGTTAACGACGCTGGGGAATATCAATGCTGTGTTTCAAATGCTGTAGGATCTATGTTAAGTTATCCGATTCATCTAGGTATGCAAGTTATGCAATTTCAATGTACAGCAGACGTACATGAACAATATTTTTGTTTCTTAAATTAAGATGTAAATATGAAAAATTTAAAAATAACTTAAAAGAAAAATCTATTTAGGCAGAATTAAAATTGGAAAGTTTATTTTAAAAAGTAATAAAACACCTCTTTTCATATGTTTGGGATAACTATACATCTAGAACACTCTGATGAAGGGTAGCCATATTTCCATTCTTTTGGAAGGTTCTTACAATTACAAAATAATTCTAAAAATATCTATAAAAACTCTACCCTGGTAAATTTTCTATGATATCTTTCAGTATAGGAGATGTATGTGAAATCTGAATGTTTCGATTTCCTGAGGTCATGGCTGGAATAAATCTAATATCTTGTTGCAACTGTGAAATTTTCTGTGAGATCTACATTCAGGATACACAGTGTCATAGGGTTTTTAGTGCTTCTTTAATTGTTGATTGATGGGTTGTGTGTTATTTCACGTCCATTCGAGAATATTAACTCATACAGAAACGTCATCACATACCGGTAAAAGGCTTCAAATTTTGACTTTTACACGGCATTCAGGGCTCTTTAGCAGGGAGGGATCTTTATCGTGACAGTGCCTGTCGTGACACGGGACCGTTTTTAAGGTCTGATCCAAAGGACCCGAAGCTTTCACTTCAAAGTGCCTAGCGCATGGCGTAGGAACAGTTGCTAAGCATTTTTTATCGACTTAGGTCAGTCGCAGCCGAGATTCGAACTTACGACATACCGATCAAATAGCGAGCGCTCTAGCGACTGAGCTACAGTGAACAGTGCTTCATGAAGTTAAAAACATTGCAAAGGTATTTTTGCTATTTCTCTTGTTCTTCTGATCCTCAAGGCCGGAAAGACATAGCATTATTATTATTATCATTATTATTATCATTATTATTATTATTATGAAATGAAGTCAATATTCAACATCTTTATTGTTAAAGACAAGCCTACGGTTCAGACCAAAAGTTTTGAGAGGGATGATGAGAGTGATAGAGTAATCTGTACGGTTGCAATAAAATCTATTCCTGAGGCTCTCAAAACTGAATGGAGGGTTAAAAAAAATCCTGACGATGATTTTCAACCAATAGATGTTTACGATTCCACATACGCAGGCTCAACTGTTTCCTTACCACATCCAGTTCTGATTGTTTATGGATATAGCAATAAACAGGGTCACGAATTTCAAATCAGTGTGTCCAATTTCATCGGAGAAACTAGAGAAATCATAAATGGTACATTGTTTACATAGCTTATATTTTGTGTATTTAATATAAATTTCTAACCTTAATTACTTTTATTCATATATATGTGCAAATTTAAACCATTTCTTGAGTGATGACTTTATTCCACTTCTTGTCTTACTTATGCAGCAATATACCTTCATCACATGCATATGGAGCATATGTATCTCAGTTGATTCGATACGCAAGAACATGCTCTACGTATGAACAATTTCTAAGAGGAGGTTAATTATTACCAAACAAGTTGATGGAACAAAAATATCAGCAGTCTCGTTTAAAGTCATTATTTCCTAAGTTCTATGGTCGATAAAATAACCACGTCAGCAAATACTATTTATCATTGAGTTAAACCGACTGACTTTTTTATACTAATTGTAAGTCTATTATTTATACACTGAATTGATGAAGGATTTTTCCGTTATATCCCGATCATGAAAAGGAGCACACGGTGGCTATGACCGGTCGGCAAGGGAAGCTCCCTCCTCCATGGCACCTGATCCTACCTGTGATGTTTTGAAGTCCGTGTTTCCTCTGTTCCTATTTTGTATTGCTTTATGGACTTTTAAACTTGAATACTGTTTCTTATTTCCATATGTTTCATTCAGACTTACTTTAACAGTTTCAATCAAATTTACTACAAATGTGTCAATGATAAAAGGAATTGTAAAATTATTCAATTGAATGTGCTCATTTGGAAATCGGAGGTAGTTAAGTAATATTAAATGTCTGTCAGTCGCTTGCTTCGTTTTAGAAATTGGCCGTGTGTAGAGCATGATCTTTCCTATCGAATCACCAGGGAGACAAATCCCCATATGCAGAAAACGTAATAATGGAAGTTATACCACTGGATATAATTTTGTACTTTCACAGATTGCTTATTATGCAATGCCATTGTGCACCTCCTGTTTACTTTTTGATTTGACATTTATTTTGGGTTTCCAAGAGCAAAACATGGACATTACCATTATAATCTTATGGGGAGGCGGGGGTATCATTTAATGAGCTCAGTGTTCACAGTACCTCTAATATTTATTTTAAGAAAAGAAGCATATGCAGTTGTCCTTGATTTTAAAAGGCCCTTAAAAGGCCCTTAAATCAAAGTTGAAATATTAAAACGCACAGAATAAGCATGATGCAAATTTATTTTCAAAATTATTTGAATATTACAGAATAACACTATCATATATCGAAGTTTAACTTTATTAATAATTTTATATTTAAAAAATTGAGTGCAAATGAAACAAAGCAAATTACTACATCAGTACATTCAACGAAGTTTTATTTGTGATATAATAACATATAATAATAACAATATCATAACGTTGCTCATTATCAATATGAAAATTGATGGTAAATGATATGGCTAACTAAATTTAAAACATTTTTGTGACGTCATTCTTTTGTTTCTACAGTCTGATATTTCAAAGAGAGTACTAGCTAAAGTCCAATATTATTGTCAGGAGTACAATATTATATCTAATATTGTACTCCAAGATAATACTGGACTGTGTGAAACAAAGGATGTCGTCACCTAGATTTTGCACTGCGAATGAATTAGGCAGAAAATAAACAAACATTATGTTGTTTTTTTTTTATTATAGAAATCAACATCTAGTAAACCAATTCAAGCTTTATAGAATCCAATTTATGCAACACAACTACGAAGTAGGAGTATCTCAGAAATCCCTTAGAATTTACACTCCGTCCAGACAGCCGACAAACGGCCGATATTGAAGCACTTGTTTTAAATTTGTGAATATTCCGAAAACACATCTGAATAAATCCACGTGAAGTGGTCTATTGTAGAACGTTAGCATTCACTGGAAGAAAAAGCGAAATGCAGACACGTTTACACTCGATCTGTTAATATATCTCATACAACTCGATTTTTTTCCCGAAAAATTTTATTTCAAAATATATTTCCAAATTAATTTACGTAAAGATGTGGTCCGGTGCTTTCGATATCCAAGGGACAAAAACGGTGCTTTCCTGGAATATATTTGCCTTCTGGTCACTTACTATCTCCATACGTTAAAAAAAGGATCCTTTACAATACTCTCATGAAGCTGCTCAGCTCTTCTAAATGCGTCCGTAGAGTGTCACAACGATAAATAATATATGATTGGGGTTCTGTAAAGGTTTTTAATTCAAAAACTATTCATCCCTTTGAAAGAAATATCTTAAACCCATAAGCGCCCTATCCATCTGGTTTGGTCACCGTCACAAGTATCATATTATGACAATAGCTAATACAAAAGTGCATTGAAAAAATGTTTTAAGTAAGATACAAAACTCAGATGGTCTATTATGTCAGGGACTGAGACTCGGTGCTTTGCACCTCGTCCCTGTCCCATATCTGATATATTAGACCATCTTCGTCTTGTATCCATTGCATATATTACAGAAAAGAAAATCAGAAATGAGGATTGTTATCAAAAGGCACATAGTAAGTAATAGAAAATAACAGATAGAAGAAACAAATGTGACGTTTTACAACTTGTAATTTTTTTTAGATAAACAAAAGGATATTTATCGGAAAAGAGGTCTAAAAATACCGTTTGCCAATCTAAGAGACGATCTTGAAAGCTCTTTTTCACAGAGTGAGGTGAAAAGGTTCAAACATTTACTGATTGGTAAGATTTTTTTACTTTTATTGCTATAACAAAATGTTGATTTCGTATTATGACACATTAAATTCTTTTTTTGATATTTTTTTAATAATTTAATTAGTTTACCCTTAATAATAATATTCAACCAAATGTTGATTTGTTTTCCTGTTTGTTTTTGTTTTGTTTTGTTTTTTTTTTGTCTGAAGAGTAAAACCAACTAACAATTTCAATGCTTTCTAGAAAACAGGAAAAAGTTAAAATGGCGACATATTGAATACAAAATTTATGTATATAGGGATATTTTTCTCTATAATTTTTTTTTAAAAATTCTAATCATTGGACTCGAGATTGGATAATCATATCTAAACTAATTCCAACAGCTCATAAAATTCCTTACTAACAATGATAAAATTCGTGATCCTGTAAAAAAAAATGTTCAACAAAGTACCTATCTGGACTTCTGACCAAAATATTAACTGCTATGAAAAACAAACTTAAGACGTATATTGTGCGAAGTTACATATTGTATGATTAGCTAATAATTATCGATGTAAAAAAAACAGTTCAAATCTGTAAGCAGACCATAAGACAAGGATCCCCGTAGGTGGCATTAGGTGTCTAAAGGAAATAAGTGCATCCTCATACTCCTAGATGAAATTTCCGTCCTCGAATTTAGTATAAAAACAAAAATCTACAATAATTTATTATGAACCCACCCCCATGTTTTGCTAATAATAAAATCTTTTGCCTTTAAGTACAATTTTAAATTAAATTTTTCATTTCCTTCTGTTTGCATATCAATGTGTAAAGAAATTTAAACGTATTCTGAAAAGAAAATTTAAGATTCGAATTTAACCCATGTTCACCGCTTCCAGAATAAGAGCAAGCAAGTGAAAAATGAAATATATATGGAAATAATGAACAGAATTTAAGCTCAAAAGTCTACCTAACAATACAAATAAGGAGCAGAGCAAACACAGACATTAAAAAGATCAGAGGAGGGATCAGGTGTCATAAAGTAGTGAGCATCCCCTGCCGACCGGTCACACCCGCCTTGTGCTTCTCGTCATGATCATAAAATAAAGGAGAAGTCCGTCAACAATTCAATGTGTAAATAATCGTCTAATTCATTCAAATATCATAATATATAGTATAATCATTGCTCATTGACAGTACGTCATCGAAATATTTATATGTTGAGTGGAAGGCCACAGTAAATCACGAACACATAATTGTTCATATCCTAGTCTCTCGGATGCTGAATTTTGTAAGGGTATAACCCCTTTTCTATGACATTCAGTTTATTTTTGTTACTTAGAACCATTTTACATATACTATCTGCTGTGCTGCACAATCTGACAGTTTATTAGTATGTTGAATCTATTCAATTTCATCCTTTATATATGTTGCTTGGTTTAAATATACATATACTTCTGCCTTGACCTTTGGAGAGAAAGATCATAGGTATTTATGCCCGCTGTTCAATCCCCTTGATTATTTTGAATAAATATATCTTAAATCAATGTCACAGCAAGTCTTTTCTTCTTTTCACGCATATTTTGAACAAACGGAAATATGTCTGCGAATAACGGGGTGCAATTGCACCCATCGGAATCCCAATAGATTGTTGAAAGACCTTATCTCCAAAAACTACATAGATATTGTCAAACAGTTACTTAATCATTTTTTAAATTTCAACTTCAGTACTTTTTCCGCATGGTATTAATTTACGCTATGAACGCGGTCACAATTTTTCCGCTGAAATCTGTCCAAGTTTACTTAATATAAATGTAAGGCATATAAACAGACAGTCTAAAAAATCCGCGTAATATTCTACCCGCGGATTAAACAGATATTGAGATTCCGCAGAATTTTGACCCCTTGGAAAAAAGTACGTCTACAGTATTAGATTTCGAAACTTCATCAAAATCCTTACAAGCAAAAATACATTGCGGGTTTCGGTAAATGTTCAACCAAGCCACTTTCGTAGCTCCTCACTAATATATTGAGAGTAGTGAAGAAAAAAATTTCAAGAGTTCTTTGCAACAATATATTCAAGAAGTGGTGTGAATCAGTTTGGATATTCAAACATTCCAAACAACGTTTGGATATTTCAAAATCAACAGCTTAAAAAATTACGACTTTTCAATGTCATACACAACCATTCTCCACGATGAATTAAAGTCCAGGCTTTTTGATATCATTGATAGCTGCTTCTTCAATAAAAATGGAACTCGTAAATTTACTTATCTGGACATTGGTTATTTGCAAAATTATTTTTTCAAAACACAATCTGAATGCACACATTAGTACTCTGAAGTTGACATCAAAGAGATGCTTGAGTTTCTGATTGCCAATATCTATGAGGTTTTTGGAGACCAGGTATTCCAACAATTTATTGGAAATCCCATGGGTACCAATTGGGCTCCGTTTTTAGCGGACCTATTTTTATATTCATATGAAGCAGAATTTGTAAAAAAAAATCTTATGCGTGAAAAGAAGAAAACACTTGCTGTGGCCTTCAACTCGACATTTAGATATTTCGACGACGTATTCTCAATTAACAATAGTAATTTCCATTCCTACGTCGATACAATATATCCTGGTTAGCTTGAGATAAAAGTTACCACAGAGTCTGAAACATCTGTTTCATATTTGGATATTTTACTTGAAAAAGACGTTAATGAAAAACTAACAACCAATCTATATGATAAACGTGATGACTTTACCTTTTCTATCGTCAACTTCCCTTACTTATGCAGCGATATACCTTCATCACCTGCATACGGAGTGTATATATCTCAGTTGATTTGATACGCAAGAGCATGCTGTACGTATGAACAATTTCTAAGACGAGGTCAATAATCGACAAGCAAGTTGATGAAACAAGAATATCAGCCTGCTCGTTTAAATTCATCACTTCGTAAGTTCGATACAATGAACTTGTCAGCAAATACAATTTATCATCGAGTCAAATGCTGACTGATGTTTTTCATACTAATTGTTAGTCCATTACTTATACACTGAATTGATGACGGTTTTTCCGTTATTTCCTGATAATGACAAGAAGCACACGGCAAATGTGACCGGTCAGCAGGGGCTCCTCATTCCTCCATGGTACTTGATCCCATCTTTGATGTTTCGGAGGTCAGCGTTTGCTTTTCTCCTATTTTGTATTGTTTTATGGACATGGAGACATTGCATACTGTTGGTTATCTCCATATCCTTCTCTCAGGTATAGAAAAAAATGTCTTCTGCAAAATCAAGGTAGCTAGGCCAAGAATATAATTATTGATACTTAATTTGACATATTCTCAACAAATATTGAAAGAAATTTAAAGAATTTCAATTTAATTTTTCCCTCTAAACCCGTGGATTATTGATTATGTTTGTTTTTCTGTAATGGAGCCCAAAAAACAAAGGTACATGCAGACATTAAACATAAGGAAATGAACTGTACCTTCAGCATCTGCGTAATTTTTTGTGGTTATACTTCAGATCTGTATTTTTCATTGTATTCAAAATTTATCATTCACTAGATTGTCTGTATGATAAATCGTTGCACCGCTTTAATCTCCGTGTATGTTTTAAGGAAGAAAATCTTTGTCCCCACTCTCCCTATCAAATTAATTCAAATGCCTTCTACAGTGTTGTGGATTCCCTAAATACTGAGTACTTTTCATTTAAGCCTACATTCTTGAAAGACTTGCTTCAGTGGTCATTAACTCCTTTGTCTTTAGTTCTAATATCAGACTGTCTTAGGTAAATCAAAAGCATTGTTTTAAGTGCGACATATGCCTTCTATTATCTGTATTAATCAATATCAGTTTTCGGCCCTAACAGGCCTCAAGCTGTCTGATATATTTTAATACAGAACTGTATTCGGCATATATCCAATATATTAATGTGTCAAATAAGTTGATAAGTTAAAATCGTCCCTAAAAGGCCTCGAACTGTCTATACAGAACTGTATTCGGCATATATCCTATACATAAATGTGTCAAATAAGTTGATAAGTTGAAATCGACCCTAAAACAACAATTCCAATGAGGGATATCGAGATAAAGAACAGGAATTCAACATCAAAGTCCATAAAACAAAACAACTTCTAACACATGAGAGGTGGGATCAGGTGCCATTGAGGAGTGAGCACCCCCTGCCGACCGGTCACACTCGCCGCGTGCTCCTTCCCATGATCAGGAAATAACGTGAAAATCTTCGTCAATGCGCTGTACACTGTATAAATAATGGACTAAGTAATAAAAAGTATGACAAACGTCAGTAAACATTTGACTCAATGATTAATTGTGTTTGCTGACGAGGTCATTATGATGACTTACAAAATGATGACTTTAAACGAGGCTGCTGGTATTCGTGTTTCATCAACTTGATAATCAATATTTAGCTCCTTTTAGAAATTGACCATACGTAGAGCAATGTATAACAACATATGAATACATATATACAACAAATAGACAAGCACATTCAATTCATGACACAAAAAGATCACAATTTTAAATACATAAAACATTCATGAAGGCCATAAATTTATATTCTCATGATCTGGATGACAGGTTATAACATGATGTTGGCTAATGAATTAATAAATCATAACAATTCAAAGCCAATTCCTAATTCCAAAGACCTACATGAATAAGATCAAAACATAAATTATCCATATTACACCATATCAGTCTTTACTCTGATAACTTCAAAACTTTCACTGTAGCACATTCGTACTCGCATAGCAAGTTTAAATATTTTTTAAAAATTATTTCATCAATTATCATTTTTATCGTTCATTTAGTTTAAGAACGGGTTTATTTAAAGATTTTAGGTGTTCAATTTGCTCAAAACTAGAGGTACTGTGAGCAATGAACTCACTAAATGATACCCCCTGCCTACCATATGAATAAAATTGCAGTTTTAATGTTTTTGCTATGGATAACCCAAAATATGTGTCGGATCGAAAAGTAAAAAAGGAGGTGCACAATGACAATAAGTAATAAAGATTCTTTGAAAGTCTCATCAAATTTCATTCAGTGGTTTGAGAGAAGTTGCGGATGAGAGATGCGGGTACCGCAATGAGTAAGAAATGGACGGACGTACCGATTACTATAGACACTCTCGCTTTTCAAGCAGGGGTATAATAAATAACAGATTTTATATAGACAAAAATAGGGTCTCTGGCAACACCCTTCTAAGACAGTAGCTATGAATAGAATAGTGAAACAAAGCTTTCCCGCCTAAATGGACAAACTGTATACCCATACAGTGCCAACTGACCAATAAAATGGATGAAAATAGACTACACCTTTATTCATAAATAGAATAATCCATAAACCTATAGTCTTTGAGTCAAACCATTATAGAAATAGGGATGTTTATGATTTTAAACTTGTAAATAAAAACAATATAGTAATATACTGCGCTTGTGTAAATGTATGTATGAATGAATGAATAAAATTCCTGAAATAAAATACATAGCAGTATCTAAAATAAAGAAAACTACAAATACTTTACTATGTATCTTTGTTTGTGAGGATTTTTTATGAAGTTTCGGAATCCTATAGGAAATGAAAATTCAGGTTCAGACAGGTCGCTTGCGTGGCGCAGTGGTTAAATCGTATGCTCTAGATCTCAAAGTAAAGAGTTGCACTTCACGTCGCGGGATCGATTCCACTGTGGAATGTGAGACAGGTCCTTCGGATGAGACCACATAAACCGATGTCCCGTAAGTGCTGGCATGAAAAAATACCCTCATTACTGAATGGCCCTTAGTGCCAAGTATAGGTCAAAAATTCTCCCCACCGGCAAGTGGTGGTATCTCTATATGAGTAAAAACGTTGCTTGAGAGGTGCATTAATCAACAAACAATTAGATCGAATTAAATTCAGTTTGGGTTTGGGGGATATTCAAACATTCAAAACCGACATGATTTTTAAGAATATCCTCCTTAGAAGGAAAGTTGGATTAACCTCTTAAATCCAAATGATAGAACTATTTCTTAGGACCATAAAACATGTCGTATCCTTTTGATAAATGACAAGGAGTAGATGACGGGTGTGACCGGTCGGCAAAGGATATTCATTCCTCTATGGCACCTGATCCCACCTGTGATGTTTTAGGGGTCGTTTTTGCTCTCCTTCTATTTTATATTGTTTTTTGGACTTTTGATCTTGAACACTGTTCGTTATCTCAATGTGTTTCTTACTACAATTAAATAAAATTATCTATCTCAAACCTGTATACAGACGGTAAAATCAAATTAAAATTTACTTAACATTCTTTAATTAAACGTTATCCTAATCTCAAACATCGTTTTAATGACGCCGAAGTACCAGTTTATGTTGTAACGTTGCAATTTTGTTCTAAAAGAATTTCTTTAATAGCCTTGTTCATGATTCATGTATCAGTCTTTTCGAAATACATAATATTCGTTTATTTCTTGTTTCAAATGAAATGTATGAACACAACGTCTATACACTTAGAATTTCAAAAATAATACTTTGACGGTGTTTGTGGTGTAACGCGCTCAACTGACGTTCTCTTGTTTCTGAGTTCAACCCCCATCACTTTCTTCAGCTGTGCACTTCTTCGGCATCATATGATCGAACCTTATACGATAATGACTGAGTAATGACAATATATAGAGAGACTTCACTGATTAAATTAACTTTACCACTAGCATTCCAACCAAAGAACAATAAAGGATATTCATGGGAGCCGAATGGGGTTTAATTGTGTGAAAACTACATTAGAAGTGTTTTAACCATATATAACTTACATTATCTGCAGTGTACATGCCATGTTTGGGGAAATTCTACCGTCCAGGTATTTTTTTTTAAATTACCGCCTAAAAATCTAGGTACATTTACTATGAGATTGCCACTTTTCCTAAGTATTAAGATTAAAGTTAAAATTTGTGAAAGTGCAAGGATGTGTCAATCAAACCCGCCTAAGAATTTCAAGTTTTGATAACTTTAAAATGAAATAAGGTTTTTAAGGGTTTTTTTTGTGAAATGCTATTAAAATACATAAATCGTAATATTATATAGAAAATATTAACTTCAAATCTGTGTCCATGCACCTTTAACGGATAAAAAAGCCCTAGAAAAACACAAGGGAAATATAAATTAGCATTAAAAGATACAATCAATTCAACTACTTGCATTCATCTTTAAAAAGGTTCGTGGGTAAAGTAATTCTAAGTATATAAACAAATCAGAGATTGGAAACATGATATTTGATTTCATTTAAAAAAAATATAGAGATAACGAACAGTATTCAATATCAAGGTCCCTAAAACAATACAAAATAGAAGAAGAACAAACACGGACCTCCAAAACATAGATGTTGGATAAGGTGCCATTGACAATGAACATCCCCTGCCGACCGGTCATATCTTTGTCATAATCGGTATATAACGGAAAAATCCATTGTCAATTCAGTGTATTTATAATGGACCAACGAGGATGAAAAAAAAAACTTCCGTCAGCATTTGACTCAATGAAAAATTGTTTATGTTGATACCTTCCTTAATAATTAACTCTTTAAGCTCACCTGAGTCGAAGGCTCAAGTGACCTTTTCTGATCAAAATTTGTCCATCGTCTGTCGTCGTCGTTGTTGTACACATACAGAATTATTTTGTACATTAACATTGCAAGTATTCTATTTTTGTTTTCAAAACAAGTTAATTAATTTCAATTCTCCGAAACAATTTCAGATTATTATTACATGTATCTGTATTCTTAAAATATTTCAAAAATGTATTACTGGATCAATCATTTTACACCAAAAATAGTCCAAGATCAGAATTGTATCGGCCAATTTTTAATAATTCCTTTATTGAATGCTTAGATGCAGAAGGGCAAGGAATCCCGGATCAAGAATCACAAAAGGTAAGCAATACTGATATTATCAATCAGAAACTCAAGAAACTTTTTATGTCAACTTAAGACTACTTGTGTGTACAATCAGAATATAAAATTACATCATACGAATTATGTACCTTTATAATTCAATCTAGCATGTTTTGATCAGTATGAAGGCCATCTTTTGCAATTACAAATGATTTTATTGTACCTGTACTTACACCCCTATGGTAGGCGCAAAACCGCTATATTTATGCCAAAAAGGTCACTCCGAAGTCCAATGGCTTGTTTCCTTTGAGACGCGTTGCGCTAAAGTGCGATGGCCTGATACGCCAAATCCCGATGGTGTAGAGGAACAACCAACGTTTATGACGTCACAATAGTCCGACTCATGACATTGTGACATTGTCCTGCATTCAAAATCCAATTATTCAGTATTCAACTCGCATACAATTTTACTGATTTTGCTTGTTTTTTTCACCCATCAGATGTATTAGATTAGCATTTGTCCTCGTACACCATTCGACTGATAAGGAGTTAGTCTTTGAACAGTAATGCGCTTCTTCGAGCCCACCCAAGAGATGGATATGGAGATAACGAACAGTATTCAATATCAAAGTCCATAAAACAATACAAAATAGGAGCAGAGCAAACACGGACCTCCGAAACATTAGAGGTGGAATCAGGTGCCATGGAGAAGTGAGCATCTCCTGTTGACTGGTCATACCCGCCGTGTGCTCATTGTCAAGATCGGGAAATAATGGAAAAAATCCGTCGTCAATTAAGTGTATAAAAATGGACTAACTATAAGTTTGAAAAACGTCAGTCAGCATTTGCCTCAATGATAAATTGTATTTGCTGACAAGGTCATTGTAGCGACCATAAAATTTCCGAAATGATGACTTTAAACAAGACTATTGATATTCTTGTTTCATCAACATGCTTGTTAATAATTTACTTCGTTTTTGAAATTTGTTCATTCGTAGATCATGTTCTTGCGTATCAAATCAACTGAGATATCACTGGATGTGACCGGTCGGCAAGGGATGCTCACTCCTCCATGGCACCTGATCCCACCTATGATTTTTCGGGGGTCCGTGTTTGCTCTGCTCTTATTTTGTATTGTTTTATGGACTTTGATCTTAAATACTGTGCGTTATCTCCATATCCTCCATATATAGAAGGGAAGATGACGATAGTAAAGTTAAAGTCATCACGTTTATCATATAGCTTGGTTGTTAGATAACCATTAACGCCTTTTTCTAGTAAAATATCCAAGTATGAAACAGATGTCAGACTCTGTGGTATCTTTTATCTCCAGCTCATCAGGATATATCGTATCGATGTAGGAATGGAATTGGCCATTAATTTTAGGATAAGGTTTTGCACACTATTGGACTGATTTGGCTTATTCCTGCACAAACCCAAGATATTTAGGTTACAATTGTTATACATTTTTCGACTGTTAAGTATTGAAAGCCATAAGGGTCCCCAAGGGTCAGGCTTCAAACATAGATAGGCCAAGGTAGAAATCATGGGTGGCCAGGGAAAACTATAGATTATGTAGACCCGGACCCTGGAATTCCCCTAATGGCTTTCTATAGATAAGCGTTAGTCTCGCTCGCATATCCAAAAGATGAGGGTGAGTCTTTGTATTTATGATATTTTGTATCTATTGAAAACAATTGGACCTTGACATGGAACATCGCATCATCGCAGTTTCGCACAGCAGTACTATGAAGTGATGATTTAATAAACGTTAATTGTTTTCTGTACCATCGGACTTTGGCGTGTCAAAATATTGGCGCAGACCATCGGACTTTGGTGTGACAATCAGACGTTGGAGTCCCGTCGCACTTTGGAGTCCTACATATATAGCAGAAAACCGGTTAAACAAAAGGGTTCAAATTCACTGGCCAATGAATCTTTTTGAGTAGAATTACTACCAAATGTGGCATAAAAAATTATAGCTGAGTAAGTTATTCAGAAAAGATAAACAAAATTATTTGTAACATTTATTTGCATTCTATTATTTCACAGGTCAACTTTTTGTCTCAGCGAGTGAGATGTTTCAGGTGTCAAGCACTTAGTCTGGTACCTCTCCCATAATTCCTATCTCATACCGCTATTTTAGGGTAAATTTTCTAACCACTGCGTCATGCGGGCAGTGAGACTTTTTGCTTACTCAATATTAATTTTAGAACAACATTTATAACGCAAAACTGTAAGGAATTTATTTTTAAGTCTTATCATTGAAACAAGTTGAAACCAGTTTTAATCTTGTTAAGGTCTTGCATATAACTTATTGAGGGATTTTTGCAAATTTTTATATACTAATACTAGAAGACCTCTTAATTTGTGTTCTTAGATTTTGTCACGTATAGATTTGTAACACATTCTTCATCCATATGTGGATATAAATATAGAATTTTCCAAGGATGTTGTTGGACGTGATTTCATTTATCCAATGAGCTGTGTGTTTTTATCTAAGGGATGAAAAGCACACAAAGATACGGATAAAATTTGACATTTCACCACAATTTATGGTCGTCTCTATCTATAACAAGTTTGACAAATAGCTATTTCACGTAAATCTACAGCTTTTGTCCTCATGAAATTTAAGTCGGAACCGTGGATATGAAAAACGATGTCATTTCATCTGTATAGAGGAGTAAACATGTAATACATAATAAATACTAATACTTATTCCAATAACTTACCGGTATTATTGTAGAACAGTTAATTTTACTGTACAGAAGTTTTGCTATATTAAGTTTATGTCTTAGGTGATTAGAAAACATAAGTGGAACAATTTATATCATCCAATATACAGTACATGATTTCAATTTAAAATATATATATATATTGAAAATTAAGCTGACAAGAAGACCTTCCTTTTACTAGAAAATCCGTCAAGGAGATGAGACAGGGCCTGGACAAATTCTCAAGCGTTATGCTGAAAAGCATCATTCTGGTAAGACAAAAAGACTTTACCTTGGCAAAACAGCAGCCAGTAAGCAGGTTATTGTTGCAGTAATTGATAGTTATGAGAACAATGAGGATACCTTCGAAGAGCTGCCTGTTCTTTACAGGAACTGGAGAGAAAGTTTCACTGAAAGTAAACAGGCTATTCATTGTAAAGAGGCTATGGCAAATCCAATGAATCACGAAGAAATCTCACAGATTGAGACAATCATCTCGGGCAATGCCGAAAAATTAATGAGCTATCATTCAAACCTAGAAATGATAAGTGCCTCTCCTGTGAAATCCATGAAGCAAGGTAAAGAGATAAAGGTTGAAAGATGCTTAGTACTTTACTGCACCTATAAAGGAATCATACCAAATGGTGAAGAGGAGTTTCCACATCAAATAGAAGGAATTAAGACTGATGTTAGAGAAGGTTTCTTTTATTTTTGTCCAAGACAGGGTAGTCAAAGTCATGTGTTCAAATCCTCCATGGACTATCATCATCAACTTCGAATGGGTTGTAACATCGGAAAGGAAGGTATAGTTAGTAATCTTTCTAAGCATAGATGTATTTCTGTGTTTCTTACATAACCGATATTTTCACATTGTAAGGTTTGAGAAAAACCTTGATTAATTATTCAACAATATGTATTTAAGCTATTTTATTATTTTAACAAAATAAAGAGAACTGCAAAGTAAACTTTGATGATGCATTATAAAGCCAATCTCGTAAAATATCAATGCACCAAAAAATTCTGAAGATACGATGTACTCTTGACTTAGATAAAGGACAACAACACAAATGATATTAAACCTTTTCATAATTTGTGTCTTGATATGATTTCAAGAATGTCAACAAGCGGTTTATAAAAATGATTTTTTTTTTGTCTGTTTGTGTTGTAGGTCGTGCACCTCGTCTTAATCTAAAGAATAAAAACAATTAATGAAATATTTTTGTAAAATTTTCTAACATGATTATCTTTTTAGATTTAATGAAAACGGGGACATTAGGGGGATTTGTTAAGCTAAATAACAATGAGATCGGGTTTATCACCTGTGCACACGTTTTGCATCCTAACCTGCCTCTGCAAGATGGCGATAAAACAGCAACGTTTAACGTAGTACAACCTGGATATGGTATTATGAAAAGAAATGAAATCTGCGGTGTCCATCTAAAATCGCTTTGTCCATACACATCAACGGTTGACGCTGCTTTAGTGAAAATTACCAACAGAATGCCAGATCGAGGATTATTCGCTGGGATATCTTTTGAAGATTTAGAAAACAGAGGTACGGAAAAGAAAGAAATTGTAAAAGTTTGAATGAATGTTCCTTTTGTTTTAGGTGCCTTATAAATTTTTTCCACTCATGTGAGACACCATCAAATACATGTGAAGAGCTTCAAATTAAGAAATTTACTTGGCTCATACGGCCAATGAATAGTGCGTCTTTTATCATGACCACGAAGCGTGTGCTACAAATAGAGCACTGCGATCTGTTAATTTACATTAAAAAGTTAATTGTAAGTAATAATTGACAGGGGTTGAATGAAAACACTCTTTCCTATTGCATATCTGAATTCTTTCACAGCTTATTTTATTTCTTATGGGATTCTCGCCAAAATATTATTGATTATGTTTCCTGTTATCACAGTAATTCTACAATAAAAACAAACATCCACAAGGGCAACAAAGTCAAATAATTGTTTATTAAAATAATCTTCTGATTTGAAAACAAATATCGTATTTCAAAAATTGCTACAATGACTTTACGTTGTAGTTCATTTTATTTACTGAATGTCTTGCTTTGATCGTCTATCCAGCGCTGTGCCTCATTCATAACGTCAGTTATTATTTTTTTCATTTTATTCTTTCTTAAACTGTTGAACTTGATTTATCAAGAAACAATTTTTAAGGTTGAAGAAAATGAAATAATCATTTTCAATGGTCTTAGCACTTTGAATACAATAGAGCTTAGGCATCTAGCTGACAAGTGTTGGTTTGTATTCAATGAAAAAAATAAAGTAAACAGTGATATTTTTCAACCAATTGGGAAAGGGTCCGGTACCGGTTCAATTGGGAAAAATAACATCGAAGAAAAACAAAGGAGAATTTTCTCTCATGTATGCAAATGCAACGTATTTTGCATTTATCCCAACTTAATTACCTATTACTCCTTGTTTTAAAGAATAAGAAACAAGGACTAATTGATTTTTATATCAACGTCCCATGTTTTCACATTTTCATGCTTTCAATTTGTCAAAATGTATGACACTACGCTGTCTAAACCACAGGTTCCGCCACCAATTACGACTTTCTCTACTTTTGATGTAAGCGGAAGTGAAACAATTAGTCATCTTGTACAATGTTTCATTTAACAAGAAATACGATTTCGTCGTAGTATGTTGCTTCACAGTTGAATTGGAATTTTTAGTCCCAGAATTGGGAAAAATTGACGTTTTTTGGCATTGGGAACGGTGCCCTTTATCGGTACCAGTTATATAAGGAAAAAAAAACGCTGGTAAATTTTACAAAATTTGAAATCTTTGTTTCCAGGGCCATCAGAGTGCTAGGTTTTGTGAAGGATTTCACATATCAGAGAGAAAAAAGTTAAAATTCATCATTTCCAAAACATTAAAAATATATCCTGATTAAAAAAAAAAAATCATCGAGCATTTACGCATATGATGAATGCTAACATGTAAAATAATCTACCTTTTGTTTTTGTTTACCTAGGGTTTGACACCGATTTCCCCCCAGAATTTCAGACAGGGGAAATAAGGGACCTGCGTGGAACTATTTCAAGAGAACATAGGTTTACACTATGTGTTAAGGTTGGTTCTTCATCTCGGTTAACCAGAGGAATTATCAACGTAAAGAATGCAAGCGTTAAACTTGATTCGTATACTCTTACTGAGCAATCACAGAATATCGTTATGCACAACTTAATAGAGATAAATCCAGAAGCTGGACATGCGTTTGCCACTGCTGGGGACTCGGGGGCATTGGTTTTCCAATTTGAAACTGCATCAAGACCAGAAAATGATAAGCTGGTGTGCATAGGAATGCTTGTAGGGGTGCATATGTCTGGTGCAGCTCTTGTCATGCCAATTAAAAAGGTTCTTGAAGAACTAGCGTTACCTGATACAACAAGATTGTTCACATTTCAACATGAGACGATGGAACAGTAGACGACATGACGCCAAGTAGGTATGTCCAATCAGGTTTATTTTTTTCTACGGAAAATTTGTACACTTGATTATTTGATCTACTGATTTTCTTTCAGTACCATGACTGCTTTGCAATTATAGATATAGTATGGTGTTAAAATAAAGACTAACACAGGAAGACATAGCAAAGCTGAAGTTTAAAAGGACAACCTTGGATTGAAAAGTATATCGAAGGTAAAAAAGGTATGGTTACAAAACTGAAGAAAAGACATGGAGCAAATTTGATATTAGAGATAAGTCAGTGAAAAAACATCTTGTTTTTGTGTTTTTAACAATTCAGATTGAAGACAGGACAAATGATTATTTTATGCTTTTCGTGTAATATAAATTACAAAAAAAAATGAAAAGAAAGATTTGTTTCAAATTGAATTTAATTGAAAAAAATGTTTTGCCTTCAAGTATATTCATCCATCTTATCTCTGTTCCCATTTGTAAAATGGCCAAATATTTGTGTGACAATTTTTCCTTTTAATTAACAGACTTTTTAAATCAGCATATTTGCAAAATTATAATTTTTTAGGTGAAGAAATTGTTCTTAAATAAATTTTATCTTATAGCACAATATTAAATAATAGTAGTTTGTTTACCAGTATTTACAAATATGTCTGATATAAAATGTTATGTATATATTCTTTTTTCTTTACTCTAGTTTCTAATTTTTTTAAATCGGTCTGTAAATATATATGTTTTATACAGGACCACAATGCAAACTAGTAATATGTACTAATTACGCTATCCTGTCTAAATAAAGAATATATTATATATTATATAGACTTGCGTGGTATATTGATACAGTTTATACCTGAGTCAATCACTAAATTATAATCACGTTATGATTAGTTTTCTTTTATATTATGTTCCTTATCATGTTAATACTACGAAGCAACAAACGTTAATTGTTTTGACGATGAGAATGAATGAGAAGGATATGGAGATAACGAACAATATTCAATATCAAAGTCCATAAAACAATACAAAATACACATAGGAGCAGAACAAAGACAGACCACCATAGGTTGGATCAGGTGCCATGCAGGAGTGAGCATCTTCTACCGACCGGTCACTTCCGCCTTATGCTCCTTTTTATGATCGGGAAATAAGGAAATATCCGTCGTAAATTCAGTGTATAAATAATGGACTTACAATTAGTCACCATTTGACTCAATGATAAATTGTATTTGCTGACAAGGTCATTGTATCAACCATAGAACTTAAGAAATGATTACTTTAAACGAGACATTAAACGAGACTGCTGATATTCTTGTTTCATCAACTTGTTTATCAATAATTTACCCAAGTTTAGAAATTGCTCGTAGGTAGATCATGCTCTTGCGCATCGAATCAACTGAGACAAATAAAATCCGTATGCAGGTGATGAAGGTATATTGTTGCATAAGTAAGGGAAATTAACGATTGTAAAGTTAAAGTCATCACGTTTATCAAAGAGCTTGATTTTTAGATTACCATTGACGTCTTTTTCAAGTAAAATGTCCATCTGAAACAGATGTATTAGACTATGTGGTATCTGTTATCTCAAGCTCATCGGGATATATCGTATCGACATAGGAATGGAAATTACCATTGCTAATTGACAATACGACGTCGATATATCTAAATGCCGGGTTGAAGGTCACTGTACGTGTTTTCTTCCTTTGTAAGCAGACCTATTTTTGTATTCATATGAAGCAGAATTTGTACAAAATATTCTTCTGAAAATAATTAACCAGATATTTAGATATATCGGCGACGTATTGTCGAGCAGGGACGAGTACGTAGTGGTCATGTTATCTGTCTTATTATATTAAACTTCTGGATTATTGAATACAGAAGGATAGATTGTTTTCTATTGCACCTCAACTTTAAATACGCGATTTTAACATGGATCTGATATGTTTATCCATTTTAACAAAGTTCATCGTCTTCAATTTCATATCCGGCCCATTATATGACGTAATCTTTTACAGAATCCATAATATTTTTGATATTCCGACAGATGTTGAAGTAGCAAGGTTGACTATATTAAGAACCTTTTAAAATAAGTGTTCTAAGGTCCACATTATGAACTATATTTTAGTCACCTGTTATGACATGCCCAGCGGGACTATAGTTATAGGGTGAAGAAGAACATGAACACGATGGAGTATTAAAATTCAGATACTCGATATCCAAGCCATGTAAACATATTGTTATTAAAAAGTTTGGAAGCATTTTTAGGAAATATAATATGTAATCTTTAACTTGAAATAAGGTGGAATACAAGACTGGATTCTTTTGTGATTAAGAATATTACCTATATTAACAGCGGCTTTTTTTGTATTTTGTTTGTTTGTTTGTTTGTGTTTTTTTTGTTGTTTTTTTTTTTTTGGGGGGGGGGGCAATTTAAAGTTCAGGGAACAAACTGATTGTTTAAGGGGGCCGACTATGGTTTTATTGTGTGAAAACTAAAATAGCGAAACTATTCATTTTTATACCATTTATAACTTATATTAACGTAAGTGTACATGCAAAGTTTGGGGAAAATCTACCGCCCAGGTATTTTTAAGCGACCGTCTCAAAATACAGGTACTTTTACTATGGGATTATATAGGAAAGTGCCAATTTTTCGCACTTTAAAGCAAATTATACAAATACTACAATAGACTTTTTGCTCAAACTATAATATATGATGGGTAATACTATATTGTACATTATATGTAAGAACCACAAAATTCTACCGCCCTGTTTCCTGAGGGGGCCTCTCAAAATGCCAAAAAAATTACGAATTCCTTTGTT